CCATAGTTTAGAAAATAGATAATATATATAGTATAAAAATAAAACTTACCAAAAATAGGCAAGAGCACATTGTGCTGATAATGTGTTATATAATAAATATTATATTTGGTAAGTATAATAGTATATATATATAGTGTGTATTATAGATACAATATATGTTGATGCAATGATTATATATATAATTGGGTATTTATAGCATAGCAATAAATAACATTTGTGGCTAATAATATACCACAACTTAACAACGCACTTACTACGTATATAGTATATAAAGCATCCAAATAACATCTACCTAGTTACTACGTGTACGTTTCGTAACAAATAATAAGAATATAATGGTTAAAATTGTTGAAAACGAAATTAAAGGTTGCGATTTCGGGCCGGGCCGGCATAGTCCATTTTCAATATGTGTAGGGCAAGTTGGGGCTGATTTTCAGTATCCAGTGGACCCATCAACCCCATGTGCAGCAAATCCAGACATGTGTTGTTGCTTTGATTAGTGGCGGACTTAGGATTATATTCGAGGGGGGGCTAATGTTGAAATTTATAAAATTATACTCCCTCCGTCCCAAAACTATAGTCTGGGTTGTGTTTGACACGAGATTTAAGGAATATTAATATTATATTGGCAATGGGGTAAAAAGTACGGGTAAAAGACTTTTTTGCCCTTGTGAGTGTATTAGGGTAAAAAGTAATGGCAATTGTGTAATAATAATAAAAAAGTAAGGGTAGTTTTATAGTGATATGATTATTTATGAAAACGAGACTATTGTTTTGGGACGGAGAAAAATAGTAAACAAAACTATTGTATTGAAACGGAGGGAGTATATTTTATTTATAAATATTTCTTTGTTATCCGAAAAAATTATCATTGTGATTATTATATTTTGAAGAAAATAAATACAAATAATGAACTACAACAATAATAATAGTTATACACTGTATTATAAATATTTCTTTTTGTATTCCTTTTTATTCAGACAAGATATACAATTTTTTAGTATTTTTTTTATTTATCCATTTTCTCTACATTACATATATTTAAAAAAAATACATAAATTTAAATAAGTAAAAAAAAAATTGGGTTGGGGTGGGGTGGGGTGGGGAGGGGGGGCTGCAGCCCACCCTTGCCCCCACCTCGGTCCGCCACTGGCTTTGATGTTCCAACTGTGAATGAGAGACACGCTTCTGCTTTTCACGAGCACAGTCACCACAAACAAAGTCTGATAACTTTGAGAACCTAGGCATACCTCTGATAATTCCCGTTTGGTCATCCTCAAGGGATCGAACATACTTTTAACCCTTTGGAGTTTTGTTTCATTGACTTCAGCAGTCCATTCGAAAGCATTCTTCAAGGTTCTCCATGGATTCTTGGCTTTCTTACAGTTTGAAATGACAAAAAACTGAACTTCATCGACAAAAGAAAATATGGCATTTACAGCTTTATTATTTCCACTTGCTGTAATTTTTCTTCAGTTGTCCATTCATTTTTCAGCTTCAGAACAATGGTTGGGGGGTCATTCTAAGTTTCTCCACGCATTACTTCGGTTAGAAGAGTCCAGCCAAGCTCTACAGCTTCCCAAGTTTCATCTCCAAGGGTTAATAAGTAAGCCTCTATCCTGTTTTTCCAATAGCTGTAGTTGTTTCCATCGAAAACTGGTAGACGAATGGATGAGAATACTTCATGACTCATCTAGAACTACAGACAGACCTAATCTGGGTATTGAGCATGCTGCTCTAATACCATATGTTGGAAATCGGGGGGCCAATCGAGTAAGATGTTCAACGCCTCCGAGTAACTTGCACAGCGGAACTGAGAAACATTTCAACGTAAACATAGCTTTACAGCGTAGTTGTCGTGTGGTCGAAACTGTAGTGTGTGTTCGTGCACAGACCGATGGCTGAATAAGTGCAACAAACTAAACAACACACAAAGTTTGTTTACCCAATTTGGTTTTCCAACCTACGTTTGGGGGATTTCAATCCAAGAGTCTTAACTAAGTCAAACACTTAGTTTACACCATACAAAACTACCCAAGCTCAATTTCGTTTTTACAAACTCTCATGGACTGACTATTACTACTCTGTAACGACTCCAGCAAACCTACGGCCAAGCTAAGAATAATGTTGCATGTCGGATGATTATCTCTTTCGGCTTTGACTCCAAGAATCATTCTTCTCGTCTCTTCAAATCTCCACGGATGAACCTCTCAAAACTCTATCTGGTAGAGAGAATAATATACTCAAAGTTCCTGTGTTTCATCCATGTAAACACATCCATACATATAAACAAAACACAAATCTAGTGCGCCCAGGTCACCTGTCACGCATGGTTCGCCTAGTATGACTTGTCTGTTGGGCCTAGTTTGCAGAGTATTAGGTTCAGCCGGGAGTTTACCCAGTGCGCACTTTCGAGTATCGGTTGCGGGTTCCCACATCATTAAAAAAAAAAACACAAATCCAAACATAAAAGACAAAGTTGACTATATGTAGTGTAGTTTTATGACAGCGAGTACGAGACATTAAATGCCTTCCAAGATGAGTGCAGCACGCACGTATCATCTCATGCACGTCCTTTAATGGGATAAGTTGATTTGTCCTGAAACATTTAATGTTCAAGAGGTTTGACCTGCCCAAAGGTGGCTACTTGGCCACAGTATCTGTTTGTGTTATAATTACCAAAATTGTGTCACACAGCTGCTACGACAACCTGACTGATATCTGCTTATTGTAAAATACAACAAAGAGTAGTTTTCGTCTTTTTGCATAATATAACAAATTCAGCCCGTATGTGTGAACCACGGCCGAGGCAAGAGATCTAATTCAAAACTAGTCCCATCTAGGGATGACAATGAGTCGGGTATAATCATACTTGAGACCCAATCCGAATATATATTATTGGATCAAAGACCCAAATCAGACTACGCTATACTCGGACCGGAGCATACTTGGATCCGATCCGAATAATATCCGATAAGACCCGCAAAATATTTTTATAATTTTTAAATTTTAATTTAAAATTAGATCCGAACATGGACCCGACATATATTAAAATGTATGTATTTTATTTAAAAATATTATAATTAAATAATGAAAAAAAAAATTAAAGTAAAAATATTTCCTCCGTCCCAAAATAATTGACCTATTTTATTGGTGAGACAGTATTTAAGATAATAATGTTTAAATACTTAATAATAGTGAATTATGGTATTATTTTATTATTTTTTTATGTAATTAATAATATTGAGAGTTTTAAAATAAATTTAGTATATATGATAAAAAGAATCTATGTTTTTGAGGAAAAAAAATATTCCTTCCGTCCGTTTTAAGCGTCATATTTACCTTTTGTCTTATTGTATTTAATATTAAAAATATCATTATATTTGTATATTTTTTTGTACAAATGTCCTTATATTAGTATTATAAGACATTAATGAAAATAATTTTTTATTTTTTTTTAATTTGTACTACGTTTTGATATAATAATTAATATTCAAATATCAACATACAAAAAGTAAATGAGACCCTTAGAACCGGACGGAGCTAGTAACAAATAGTAGAAATTCAGGGAAATATTGCAAACGAACACATCATTAGTAAATTTTACCCAAAAGAAAAATGTGTAATTGTTACGAGAGAGAGACAAAAGTAAATGTATCAATTGATATAAGACGGGAGAGTATTTTTTAATATAATTTATACTGCTAAAAATTATTTTTAATATATTAAATTGATATATTATTAATAGATAATCGGGTTCGGATAAGGTCCAAGTCTAGGTAGGATCTACCCTTGGACCTGAGACCCGAATCGAATCCGATAAGAATACACAATATTCAACTCAAACTTGATCTGATATTCAAATAATTAAATTCGATCTCAAATAAATGGGTCTGATATCGAGTCTACGGACCGCTACCATCTCTAGTCTCGTCATAACAAAGTATCTATTTTTTTCATTTTAATCCGTCCTATAACAAAATATTCATTTCTTTTTTTTTAGTAACTGTACTATCTGCCTAACATTACAAATACCCTTACAACTTACAATATATTACACGAATGTCTTGACCTTTGTATCACACCATACTAACAAAGTTATTTTAGTCATTTCTACTTTATTCCTGCTATATTCCAATATAATACTAATATTTTTAAAATTACGTGCAAAAAGTAAATGAAAACCCAGTTATGGGACGGAGTATATTAATATATATTTTTAATCAACTTTTAAATTTACTTTTATAAATTTGATATCATTGTAGTAATTTTCATGTGATTATTCGTATTATTTAGTTTCGGAGATCTGTTGCTAATTTGTTCTATAGTTTATCCGGCACAACACAATTTCGAATCTTTTATTGAGAAGTTTAGGGTGTGTTTGTTTGGGGGTTTGGATTTTGAATTGGGATATAAATAGGCGTTGATGTGATGTTTTAAATGTAAAATTGATTTTTAGTATAATATAAAAAGTAAAAAATAGTTGTTTGATTTGATATTTTTTTTTGAAAAAAAAAATAAGATGAATAGGAAATCCAATCCCCGAACAAACACACCCTAAGGTGTTTTTTGTTGGTTCGATCCACCGAGCCGTAGAATTTTTTTGACATATAACACTATCTAAAAGATAATTTACTTACTCCTCAATTTTTATTTAGGCTGAAAACAAGCAATAAAATATTTTCCTTGTTCTTATGTTTTTACAAGATCAAAATTAAATAGATCGAGGGGAATTAATTCCTTTTAAATTTGAATTTCGACATAATAAATCCTTTAAGTTTTTGAGTAATTCAAAATCCTCCAAAATAATAGGAATACACTGACTAAAATCATCAATATTATGCTCAGCAATGGCAAACATACTCAGATGGTTTAAATCCTTCCATAGATCATCTTCTTCACTATAATCCAGACTGCTTCCAATGAAAAAAGTTGCTTTATTATTCTGTAAAAGGAAAGCTTGCAGGGATGACAGCAATGGCTGCATAGCGAAAGCCATAGACAATCGAAAAACAAGAACAGGACACAAAAATGTTAAAACCAAAAGCTAAGAACAACGAACTTATATGATCCATACTTTCAGCATCACAACTTATAAACCATCCAATTTTCGATGCGATTTCCGTCGATAATAAAACTGTCTTTCATCTTCGTAGCCTTTTTAGGAGCTGCTTCGCATTCGTCGAAAGCTTTTTCTCGCGTCGTGAATTCCTTTTGCAGTCGATCGCCTCTTGTCGTCGCCTTTTGAAACTTGAGCGAACTTATAGTCGAGAGCATATAAGCTCGCCCCCCGGCTTTGTACCTCTCAAGAGTTCCTATCCTTCGTAGAATCTCGAGCATCTCTGCCAAAGCCCCACGTAATCGATCATCACTATCAGCGAAAAATAAGGATCCGAGAAATTGTACCGCTCTCGAGATAATAGCCTTCGCATTCGACGCATTGCCCTGCTCTAGATACGATAGAGCAAGTTCGATCCGATATGTGCAAATAAGGCAGGCAATGCATGCATAAATCTCATTTCCATGTCGAGATTCTTCACCTCGCAAGAATGTCGCCGTCGGCCTGTCCAGCTCGAGTAAGGGGCACTTTACCACCACCGAGAGTTGTGTCACCACATCGTTGTATAAACACACGATATTCACCAGCGGCGCCTTTCCGAATTCGTCAATGTTTTCACGAAACAGCCGAGGGATCGCTATACGGACAACGAATTCCTTTTTCTGATCGGCGTAGAAGTCCCCGGCGTATATTGTAACTTGACTGTTTTTCCTGGACTTGACTCTTTTGAACCCACCGGTGTACGCCTCTTTGATTTCTATCGGCGAGGTCACCGCTACAGTTACGCAAAGATCTTGCGCGACGACGCTGAAAAGACCTCCAATGCAGCTAGAAATCGCTCCAAGAACTGCTCCATACGACTTGAGGAACATATAGCTGCCCTTGGATTTATCCGACGCCGCGTGCATTGCGACAGCGTCATGGTCCCGACCAATGCCGAAGGCGTGAATAGGAAACCGGAGATGTTTTTCGCAAATCGGCCACGCTTGCTGCGTGTGGGATAAAAGTATAATACTCGCGTACGGATTGTCGTTGTATGGCCTTTCCTCGAGAACTCGACTCCCCTGTTTCAACCCCTCGGCAGGATTCCCCGAGCCACCTTCGACAACGATCGACTCGGCTGCTGCCGCCGCAGCTTTTCGCCCGCGGTTATTCATTGCGCGCAACGGTAAAATTCGTCGAGCTTGGTTCGCAAATGACACGATCGAAAGCCGGTCGAAGGGGCCTAAGTTCTGTATAACGAAATGAAGTGCTTCTTTAATGTGAGCCATATACGAGTCGTCGAAGCTGCATTCGCTCGAATCGAGCACTATAACGAGGTCGATCGGAGCATGCCGGAGATCTTGCCGGAATTCAGACGTCGGCGGCGCGGTTAGTTTAATTAAAACGTAGAGTGAAGAGATGGAAGCGGAAGCATCCAGAGCAAGGTAGTGTGGAATCGCCTCGATCCTGACCTGCGGTGCGTCGCCGCCGTCGTTCGATTTGTCGTCTACGGCCGGCAGAGAATCGTTGTCATTGTAGGGATATAGTAAGGGGTGGGGTTCTTGTTGGGAAGAAGATGCCATGGAAACAGAAGTAGATCTGTGTATGGAGAAATTTCTTTTGAAATTGAATTGCATTTGAAGAAATGGATCGATTGCAGATTATGAAACTCTGATTTGATTTGAGTGGTGCAGGGGAGACTGATCATTCAAGTAATTTTGTAAAGATCTGCAACAGGTGGTTATAGGAGATGGAGATAACTGCAAGCAGTTCAAGAACGCAGTTTCAGCGGAGCGATTATCGCTGACTAAGTAAATTAATAATATAATAATAATAATAATATAATGGTTGAAAGAGTTGTAAACGAAACTAAAGGTTGCGATTCCGGGCCAGGCCGGTTTATTCAGGCCGGGCCGGCACAGTCCATTTTCAATATGTGTAGGGCAAGTTGGGTCTGATTTAGAATTGTGTGAAAATCTTAGCCGGATTACAGCCCGGTATGAATACTTATTGGATTGGGTCAGTCCAATTTTCAATTTGTTTTAGCTTAAATATACTTACGTAAATTTGTTATTATATTAAAAAAATAATATTTCTTTCGTTCGAAAATAATTAATTATTTTTCTTTTATTTTATTTAACTTGACATATTTCTATATAACATATAATACTATACATTTACGATCCACTCAAAATCTATTTACTATCTCTCCTTTATTATTATTTATATTTAAAATTTCTTTTATAAAAATTCATTTATGTTAATTACAATTAAATCAATATACTTTTTATTTATTTATATTATATAAAAATTTTAATATCTATTAAATGATATCATATTATATATCTTATTCATTTAAAATACTTGAAGGTCTATATAGGCGTATCGGAATGTCAAATCTTCTATAACCGGCAGCGTTTTTTACAGGCCGACTTACGGTAATGATGCAGTACTTCCGTTGGAGATTACAGTGTCTTCACTCCAAATTTTGAAGGTGAATGGGTTGTCGATGGAAGAGCATGATATGGCCCTGCTCCAGAAGCTCAATGCCTTGCCCGAAGAGAGGTTGCAAACCGTTGAATGCATTCGACATCAAAAGAAGAAGGTTGGATCAACTTTCCGGAAGCACATGAGGCCTCAGACCTTTCAGGAAATATTACATGGTCTGGAAGGCCGTCCTCTCGGAGGATCCCAAAGATGCAAGGCTGGGGAAACGGTCCTTCACATGAGAATGACCGTTTGCTATATCGGCTAAGTCATCTAGTGGTGCATACAGACCGATGGAATCCGAGGCGAAAGAGTTGAAGATGTTAATAAATAAAAAATATTTGAAGAGATTTTATCCCTCTCTATGGGAACTGGAAATAGAGGAACCTGCTTGATCAAAAGTTTTGAAGTTATATATCTTTCAAGCACAATCGAGACATAAAAGCAGTATGTTGGAGGAAAGAGGAGAGCGTGTATTAAACTGATCAAAATCAAAACAGAAGATTGTGTCATACTTGTCAATGCCTTCGTACACGGATTACCCTACATGATTATAGACCAAAACAAAATAACAAAGGGCATGTCGAAAATGAATCATGCAAAAAGAAAGTCACAACGAGACACTACACTATTCGATAGGAAGGTCATTCAAGTCCACATCACGGTTAACACTGACATCCATTATTAACATAGTATAAATATATTTCTAATGAATATATATTTTTTCATTAGAAATAGTATAAATATAAAAGAGTAAAAATTATTAATATATGTATTTTTATTAGATTAATTTTTAATTAATATATATTTACATTAAATTTATAATTTTAAATAAATATATTTATTTTTAATAAAAATATTATGTGATAAAAAATGATACATAATTGATTCAACAATATTAATATTTTTATATTATCTTTATTCTAAAAAATAAAAAATAAAAAATAAAAATTATAAATAAGATAATTGACATATAAAAAAATAATTATTTAAAATTTATAAATTTATGAATTTATAAGTTATTAGAAGAAAATAGTGTAATAAAAAATATATGAATATTATGCGAAAGAATTAATTAATTTTAATAGCAAATAAGGAATAAAAAAATTAAAATGAAAAAGCTAATCTGAAACGTTCTGAAACGTTGGTATATACAGTTTTTTTCAATATTAGCTTTTTGGACCCAATAAGCTAATTGAAAACGTTAATTTACCGAATACCAAAGCTAAAAGCTTTTCAATAAGCTAAAAATTCTGGAAAAAACTGTTTACCAAACACCCTCTTAATTAAACGAAACGAAGACGAGAATGGCAGTCAGGGTCGATTTTTTTGTTCCATTTCACCCAACCCAAAAATCCAACTTTACTCAATCTACAATTGACTTATGTTTCACCCAACCCAGAAATCTAACGTTACTCAATCTACATCCGATACAACCTGTAGAGAGACTTGCCAATCCAGTTCTAAACCGCCGATTCGCCGTTTTTTATTTGTGTCTTTGCCAAACCACAAACGCCGGTTCAAACTGCCCGGTTTATAGTTAAAACTCATTTATTTATATCTCTCCTTAAAAAATATTTTTATCTATAGTTAAAACTTGTAAAATTAATTTATCTTAATTATAAATAGATATATATAAATTATTTATTTGTATTATTTAAAATTTTATTCTTAAAAAATGATATTCATATTGTATATTTTTTTAGATATAATATTTAAATACATATTTCAAATTTATTTTAATTATATATTAATTTTTTTTTTGAAAATTACTAACTATATTATTTATATAAAAATATAATAAAAAAATATCGTAATTCACAATTATAAACTAATTAAACCACTTTACCTAGTAAGGTGGGACCGAGGAGAATGAGTATTACATATGATTTGTACCATTATAAATGATTTTATATTAATAATAAATTAATATTTTTATTTTTTATATTATGTAAAATTTTATTTTTTTAAAAGTATGTATGTATTGATTATATTTGTATTAATATATTTATAAAATTTAATTTAATTCATTGTTCTGTATAATACTATCTCAAATGATCATTTCATGGCTATTGATAACTAATTAAATCAGATAGTTCAATTACTCAATCTTTCTGACTTGCTTCTATTAATATATATATAATTTAATTTAATTCATTGTTCTATATAATATTATAAGGATCTCATTTACTTTTTTATATGGATTTTTAAATATTAATTATTATATCAAAATATAATAAAAATTATGAAAAAATTGCAAAAGTACTTCAATGAGTGTCTTATAATACTAATAAAAGGAAATTTGTACAAAAAGTTATACAAATATAATGATATTTTTAATGTTAGTACAATGATGCAAAAGGTAAATGTGACTTTGAGAGGCGGACGGATGGAGTATTATATTAATAATTTAATTATATAGGATCAATCACATCATTTATTATATAATATTTAGAGTAAATTATATAATACCCCTGTGTTTTAGTAACAATACACAAAACACCATGTTTATTTATTGTGTGAAACCGTGTTAATGTAAAGTTTGCATGAAATACTCTCCTCGTCCAAAATTGATCTTTGATTTTAAATAAAAACCTAAATTACGCAAGTCTTAAGGAATAAAAAATATCTTAAATAATTTTTTGAAAAATAATAAATAAATAAACAGTTGTTTAATCTTTTATTTTATAGTTTTTTTTAGAGATAAATTGTTATATGCTTTTTACAAAAAGTATAAAAACTAAATGATTGATCAATTATTTATTTATTTATTTATTTTATTAAAAAATTTATTTAAAATATTTTACGCCTTTTTTATTTGTATAAAACTTGCACAATTTTAGTCTTTATTTAAAACCAAACATTAGTTTTGAACAAGAAGATGTTTTTGTGCAAACTTTACATTAACAGTTTCACACACTAGAACACGAGAAGCTTTAGGCATTTTTATAAAATACAAAGGGATGTTATATAATTTACCCTAATATTTTCAATAAAAAATTATTTCAAATAATTTAAATTCAAATATTTTTAAATCAAAATCTTTTTTCAAAACTCATATCTAAATGGAGTTAGAATTTTTTTAGGGAGATTAAAATATAGATACAAGACGTTTTTCTTTCTTTTTTTTTTTTTTTCTCTCAGTAATTTTAATGTGATTATTATTATTTAGTTTCGGAGATCTTTCGCTAATTTGTTCAATAATTTATCCGGCAACACATAATTTTGAATCTTTTATCGGGAAATGCCCAAGTCGAAAGTGCGCACAGGCCGAACCTAATACCCTCTAAATTAAATTTGATAGACCAGTCACACGAAGCGAACCATATGTGATAAGTGACCTGGATCGATCAGTTTTGAGAATTAATTTTTCTAAGAAATGAAACATGGTTTCATTTGAATTTCCACGTAATAAATCCTTTCACCTTTTAGGAATTCACCTAACACCAAAACGATCTACTTCCTCCGTCCCAATACATTTATCATTTTTGTCAGTATCAAAACAAGAGTCTCATTTCCATAAATAATCATATCACTGTAAAATTACTCTTACTTTTTCATTATGATTATAAAATTACCACTCATTTTTACACTAATACACTCACAAGAACAAAAAAAATTTTTACTTGTACTTTTTACCCGCTACTAATATTATATCAGTATTCTTTAAATCTCAAATACAACTCAAACTATAATTTTGGAATGGAGGAAAGGAGTATATGAATAATTAAAAATCTATCAATATTATGCTCAAAAATGGTAAACATACTCAGATTATGGTAAACAAACTCAGATGTTTTAAATCGTTCCATAGATCATCTATAACCATTCTTCACTATAAAATCCAGACTGCTTCCAATGAAAAAGTTGCTTTACAATCAAGACTCTTGATATGTCTTTAATTTAGGGATATGATTTGGATATTACAGGTGTATTTGTTTGGGAATTGAATTTTAATTATACTATTTATCTCATTTTTTTTCCCAAAAATATCAAATCAACCACTTATTTTTCATTTTTTATATTATACTAAAAATTAATTTTACATTCAAAATATCACATCAACCCTATTTATCACATCATACAACTATTCAAATTCAAAATTTTTACTATTTAAATTCCAACTCAAAATTCAAATCTCGATATGGATATTAGATAG